TTTGGAAAAAGGATCTTTGCAATCGTAATTAAGTTAAGGATCTTGAGATGAGATCATCATCCTGGAGTATCCAGTGGGCCTTAAATCCAATGACAAGTGTCTTGAGAACAGACGCACAGAGTAAAGGAGGAGACGATGTGACCATGGAGACAGAGGTTGGAGTGACAGAGCCACAAGCCAATGAATAACTGCAGCCACCAGAAGCTGAAAGAGACAAGGGGCTGATTGCCCCCTAGAGCCTTTGGAGGGAGTGTAGCCCTGCTGACATCTTAACTTCACACGTCTGGCCTCCAGAACTGTGAGAGAATCAATTTCAGTTGTTTTAAGCCGCCAAATTTGTGATCATTTGTTATGGTAGCCATAAAAAAATCTAATGTGCCCCCAAATTTAGCAGCTTAAAACAACAAACATTATCTCATAGCTTCTGTGTATCAGGAATCCAGGCATAGCTTAGCTAAGTGACTGCCTTGAAGTCTCTCATGAGGTTGTAGTCATCTCAAGACTCACTCGGTCCGAAGGATCTGCTTCCAAGTTCACTCACATGATTGGTGACAGGAATTGGTTCTTCAAAGGCTGTTGGTGTGAGGAACTCACTTTCTTGATGGCCGTTGTCCAGTGGCCTCAGTTTCTTGCCACACGTGCCTTTCCGTAGGGCAGTTTACAACATGGAGGATGGCTTTCCTCGGGGAGCAAGCGAGAGAGTGAGAGAAGTGCCCAAGGTGGAAGCTACACTCTTTGTAACCTATTCTCAGAAGTGACACTCCATCATTTCTGCTGTATCCTATTTGCTGTATCCAATCCACACTCAAGGAGAGAATACACAAGGCCTCAATGCCAGGAGGTAGGGAGCATGGGAGCCTTAGAGGCTGCCTACCACAGTATAAACGCTATAGTAAAGGTAGGCACGAATTGCTACGGGAACACTTTGCAGGCAGCAATGCATAGAAAGGAAAACATTAACTGGGTCATAGGAGTATGGATTATTTTCCCTTTTCTGAATTTCCTAAACTTTTTAGTGAGCATTATGGGTTTTACAGTGAATTGAAAAATCGGAAAGCTAAATGAAAGAGAAGACAGGAAAGGAGAAAGAAAAGAAGGGAGGGAGGATAAAGGAGAGAAAAGGAAAAAACCTGAATTAAATTCCCAACTCCAGCACTCACTGATTTAGACTGTGAACCTGTCTACAGAAGCTGTCCCCAGAAGTATCACAAGATATAGTGCTCTTCGGCTCAGAAGTTTCAGACTTCATTAAAACAAATAATTACCTCCAGGATGTCCCACAGGTGGGCCAGGCAAAGCAACAGGTCATTATGGTTGGCAGTGCTTCAGAATTGGAGAGGTGGGGATGGTTTTTCTGTGAAGTCTGTTTATGGACGACAGAATCCCAGTAGGGCAGAACCCAGCGATCAGCTCCCTTCCTTGTGACCAAAATGACCTGAATAATAGTGTCCAGTGCAGAACACCAACCCTCCCCGCAAGAAGCTGAGGCTGTTTGAGTTTTTTACCTCAGTCAGAATTAGCTTGGAATAGGGCAGCACAGACCCATGATAGAAACCTCAGTAAACCCTACTGTGAGGAGCTGGGAAGGGAAGCTGCTTAGGAAATGACTTTGGGCTGACCCACATTTCCCAAACCTTAAAAACCAGAGTAGAAGTGACTTCTCCCCAACCCAGAAAGTATCCCAAACCCTAAAAGGGGGCACTCAGAAAACATATGCCGAAGAAATCAGAACCTCACAGGTTTCAAATAACGAATTTTATCAGAGGCTTTGGGAGTGAGCAGGCCACTCTCATGCCTTTTCTGATGCGTTCTGAGGACTCTGGAATGGCAGCCTATTTTCTAAAACAATGCTGGAGCAGAAAACATCTCAAACGTTTCAGAAAACCAGACTTTTTGGAGGATGGTGGTTTCTGCGGGGCCCCATTTGGGTTTTCGGGTTCCCCTAGACCCTGGAGGCTCTCTGTCTTAGAGAGAGCAGCTCTGGCACAGCAGTGACCTGGTGGCTGAAGGTCCCTCTTCAGGGAAGCATGGACTTCGATGCTGTCCTCCCTTATATGTGGGTCAGCCACTTTGGGAAGCAGGGTAGGATCAGAGCCCCTTAGGCTCAGGTTGGGGGCTGAGTGCTGGGGCTTGGCCAGGGGTGGGGACCAGGATATATTGTTCAGTAGGGTCGTGCTCAGCCTCGCTGCAACTGTGTAGAGACTCCCTTTGAAGTTGGAGGTGTCTGCGGAACAGGAGGAAGGCTGCTGCCCAGACCCTCTGCCGTCTACAGGCTCCAGGCTTCCTCTTCTCCAGTATGTGGGCTGCTGACATTTGAGTCTGGGGGGCTCAGAGGCCTCCTGGGATGTGCTCTCCTTCCTCCAGTGGTCGTGGCCTGCCCTGAAGTATGAGGATCTCACTCTGCTGGGAGCCATCTCTGCCATCTGGGAGATTCCTGGCCTGATCATTTTCCTGCCCATAGTGTTCTCACTGGAAGGCTCTTGGACCCTTTCTTGGCCACACCAGCTCCTAGACTTTGCTGCAGGCCTGGGGTTCCTGGGAGCCGGGAGTTTGGCCCTTAGAGGAGCCTCTACCAGGACATCCTGTTGTTCTCTGGGGCCTCCTGGTGGCCTGACTCTCCGGGGCTTTTGGGGAGGGATGGAAATGCCTGTGGGCTCTAACCTCCGTGGCCCACACTTCTCCAGAGCTCTGGCTAGTGTAGAAAGTTTCGAGCTTTTTCTTTCTGGGGGTCGAACCCTCTGGGACCTCTCAGGGGACTTAAGGCCTGGCATGGAGCCCTGGGCCTCACAAAGCCTTTCTCGCTGCCATTGGAGGTCACAGGCTGTGTATAAGCCAGGAAGCTGCACCACAGAAAAGGATAGTGGGCTCAGTCCTAAGAAGTTAAAGAGCAAATGGGACTCCAGGATACGCTGCGGGAGGCCCCACTTCAGATGTGCCATCTTCCGCCGCATGAGGGACTCCAGGAGCAGTCGTTGGCTCTTCTTGAGGACAGGCCACTTGGGCAGGACAGTGAGGGCTGTGGGAGCACCCACCAGCACTGTGGCAGCTTGAGGGACTTGGCCACACGAGTCAGAGGGACAGGAAGAAGGCAGATTCAGGGAAGCAGCCAGAGCCTGTGGGTTCTGGAGCTGCCAAGCCAGGCTGGAGGTCTTCCCTGGATCCACCCTTTTGTCCCTTTGTCGGCTTCTCGGGGGTTTAGGTGGGGCCTGACAAAAGGCTCGACTGACTCCCACTCTGTGCTTTCTGGCAGGGGCTGTGCTCTGGCTAGCCAAATGCTTTCCCTCTCCACTGGTGAGCAGGAACAGTTCACCCTGGTGGGGGAGAGGCTTCATCTCAGGACAGGGAGCAGAGGCCACTGTCTGTTCCTGTTCCATGGCCCCATATCCAGAGCCAGCGAGGGCTAGGGGGCTTTCACCCCCAGAACAGTCAACTTGGAGATTGTCTTCAGCAGCATCCTTTCCTCTGATCCGGTCCTTGTTTCCTCCCCTTGGAACTCCAGGCCCTCCAGCATCCTCTGCTCTGCACTTTCTTTGGCTCCCTACATCCCAGATTTCTGCAGCATCCTCATCCCCACCCTTGTTCTGGTTCCCTTGCCCTTGCATTTGGATCTCTCCACCAATTTGACTTCTTAACTGTCTTTGGTAATCTCCCCCAGGAGCCTGGGTCTCTCTACCATCACCGCCGGTGGACCCTCTCAGGTCTCTCTTCCCTTGTATTTGAATTTCTGCACCATCCTCACCTCCAATCTGCTCCTGATTCTTCCACTCTGATGAACAGGTCTTTCCATTAACTCTCCTTTTCAACGGTGTCTGGTTCCCTCCCCTAAGTCTCTGGATCTTTCTACCATCCTCACTTCTACCTTCTCTCTGGTTTCTCTTCTCCAGTGTCTGGTGTTCTGCATCATTCTTTCCTCCAGTCTGCTCCCAGTTCCTCCTTCCTGGTGAATGGCTCACTCCAATTTCACTATCTAACTCTCCTAAGTTCTCTCTCTCAGGTTTCTGGGTCTCTGTACCATCCTCATGTCCAGGTTTTCTCTGGTTTCTCTTCTCTGGTGCCTGAACTTCTGTTCCAGTTTCACCTCCCATCTGCTCCTGGTTCTTCCACTCTGACAAATGGGTCTTTCTATCAATATCACCTCTTAACTGACTCTGGCCTTCTTCCTCAGGAGCGCAAGTCTCTGTACCATTGTCACCTCCAGCTTCTCTCTGGTTTCTCTTCTCTGAAGCTTGGATTTCTGTGCCATTCTCGCCTCCAGCCTGGTCCTCTTTCTTCCATTTTGCTGAATGAGTTTCTCCATCTATTTTACTTGTTAATTCTCCCCACTTCTCTGCCTCAGGTACATGGGTATTTGCACCGTCCTTGCTTCTAATGTGTTTCTCGTTCTTCCACTTTGGTGTGTGAATTTTTCCGTTAATTTCATTGCTTAACTGACCCTGGTGTTCTTCCCTAAGTTCCTGAGTCTCTTTACCATCTTCATTTTTAACCCCTCTCAGATTTCCCTTTGCAGGTACGTGCATGTATGTACTTGGCTCATCTCCAAACGGCTCCTGATTCTTCCTATCTGGTGGATGGGTGTCTACATGAGTTTCACCTCTTAACTGTCTCTGGTTCTCTGCCTCAGGTGCCAGGGTATTTATATCATCTTCACCTCTGTCCTTTCTCTGATTTCTCTTCTCTGATGTCTGAATTTCTGCTCTATGTTCACCTCCAATCTGGTCCTGATTCCCCCAACATTGTATCTCAAATTCTCTGTCAATTTCACTTGCTACTGGTCTCTGGTCTTCCCACCATAGTGCTTGGACCACTACCCACTCCTCCTCTTTTATCTCTCTGAGGTTCTTCCTTCTATATATTTGGGTTGCCCCAGCATCCTCACCTCTTTTCAAGGCTTTGCTCCCTGACTCCACTTGAAGTTCATGTCTTAGATGCTTCTGGATCTCTTCCCTAGATGCTTGGGTCTTCCCAGTTTTCTCACTTCCACCCCGATCCTGCTTCTCCCACCATGGTGTTTGGATATCTGTAACATTCTCACTTCCAACACATTCCTGTTTTCCCCACTCCAGGACCTGGATATTCACATCATTCTCTTTTACTTCTCCGAGGTTCTCCCTCCCAAATATTTGGGTTTGCACAGCATTCTCACCTTCAACCTGGTCCTTGTTTTTCCTCTTTTCTGCCTGAATTTCTGTACCAATATCACCTCTAATCTGGTCTTGTTTTCTCCACCCTGGCGTCTGGGACTCACCATTCTCACTTCCAGTTAGGCTCTGTTTCCCCAATCCTTGAGCCTGGGTCTCTCTTTCATCCTCCTCTTGGGCCTCTTTCTTGTTCTTCTTAAATGCCTGGGTCTCTACAGCATCCTCATTTCTATTCTTATCCTGGTCTCCCCACTCTGGTGTTTGGGTCTCTGCATCAGTTTTACATCTTAACTGATCTTGGTTCTCTACTCTATGTTCCTGGGTTGCAGGAGGATCCTCACCTACGGCCTCCCTCTGGTTTCTCTTCCCTAGTTCCTGAATTTTGGATCTATTCTCAAGTCCCATCTGGTCGTGGATTTCCCACCCTAAGGTCAGGATCTCTCTATCAGCTTTACTTATCACTAGTCTCTGGCTTCTCCACTCTAGGACCTCCGTTTCTGCATTGTCCTCCATCCCAAAGTTTATTGGGAGTTGTCTTCCAGATGCCTGAATCTCCCAAGCATCCTCCCCACTGCTCTCTCTCTGGTTGGTCCAAACTGGAGTCTGGGTCTCTCTAATATCCTTTCTGCCTAGTGCCTGGCTTTCCCTCCCTGGTGCCCAGGCCTCTGGTGGGAAGTCCCAGGACTTCCAGGTGGGTATTCCCCCTTGTTGGTAGGAAGGAAAAGGCAGGAATTCTGTGAAGCAGTACTTCAGCCTCTGAGATGAAGGGAGATTTGAGAGAGAAGTGGCCACAGTCATGGAGGTGGGATGGGACCTCATGCTGACAGCAGGCTCCAATGGCACCAACTCTTCCTGGGAGTGGACCAACAGTGTCTCCCTCCTGCGATGCATGTCCAGGGCAGGGAGCAGTGGCTTGCAAATAGGGTGAGTATGCCCATCACTGAGACAGCAGGGTACCTGCCGTATGTCCCAAGAACTGTCCTGAGGAAGCATACAGGTGCTTGAAAAGGAGGTGGTGCAAAAGATGGGCTCAGAAGGGGTATGGAGATCCCAACATGAGCACTGACATGGGTGCCTCCAGGAGAGCAGGTATTGGGCCCATGATTCCCGGAGGCTCCTCCAGTATTTCCATCTTTTCTTTTGTGCACATTGTTGAACATGAGCATTCAAGCCCCTGAACTTGCCAGGACTGAAGGATAACTTAGGGATCAGCCCAAAACAAGTGTCATGTCTCATGGAGATCACTGCCCACTTCTGTGGTGGTACCTGTAGGTGAGAACACAGAAGCAAAATCCTTATACACATTGTCTCATCTAACCCCCACAGATCAGAATTGTTATCCTCATTATCCAGATGAGGATGTTGGGGCTCAGTAAAGGGGGAGTCACTTCCCTTAGGGCAAACAGTAGTCATTCATTCAAGAAAAAGAAAGTATTCACTCTGGGCCAGGCATTATTCTAGGTGGCAGGGGTACCAGCATGAACAAGACAAAGTCCCTTCTGAGAGCTATCTTCTAGACATGGAAGACAGACAATAGCCAAGTAAACAATATAATGTTACGTATGAAAGTGTTCTGATGGAAATAGAAGCAGGATGGGGATGGGGTTAGCTCCTTTAGACAGAGTAGTCAGAGAAGGCCTCTCACAGGTGGTAACATTTGACTAGAGACCTGAGTGAAATGAAGGGCAAACCAAGTGACCTCTGAAGAAAGAGCACTATAGGCACAGCCCTGAACATAGAGCAGGGTCATGTGTGTAAGAACAACAAGAAAGCCCGTGTAAGCAGAATGGAACAAGTGACGAGGAGAGTCTGGAAGATGAGCTCAGAGAGAAACGTAGGACAGACCATGCTGGACCTTGGAGTTGTGGTTAGGAGTTTGGATTTTATTCTGAGTTTGATGGGGGCTGAGGGGGGTGGGGTGCATCCATAAGCACCATTACAGGGTTTTGAGTGAGAAAGTGCTGTGATTGGTTTTTTGATCAGCATGCTTTTGGGCTGCTGGTAATGGTGCTTCTTAACCTAGGTACACATGGATGTGTTCAGTTAGTGAAAACTCATTGACCTATATACTTATAATCTGTGTATGTATATTATTCTTGGATTAAAAGCCTTAAAAAAGAAAGAGAAAGAAGAAAGTCATTCCGTTGGCTGCGTGAGTACTGACTGACTGGCTGGTTGAGAGAGGCGGCGAGAACCAGGCCGAAGGCAGTGTTTGAAGTCCAGCTGAGACACCAGAGTAGCTTTGCCTGGTGGGTGTGGTGAGGTTTGGAGAAGTGATCAGGTTTGAGATATGGTTTGCAAGTAGAGCCCATAGGACTTAGATATGGATTGAATATATGGAGTGAAAAAGAGAGGAGTCCAGGGTGACTGCTGGGTTTGGGGCAAGATGATGTTCTCCCTGACCCATCTGAGTTGCCAGTATGATTCATCGCTGTACACAGGGCATAGAACAGGGCCTTCGTAATAAGTGACTGACACAATCACAGTGGTGAGAGAAGGAGGTGTGTGAGGTTCCCTCACCTTTATGACCTTCTTCATGCAGAGGTGGGTCTTCGTGATCTGGTGCCAATAGTGCCGGACCTGCCAGATCAGAAAGAGGCAGAAGACAAGCAGGTTGCCACAGCACCGAGGGTCCCTGCAGCTGTGATCTTCGGAGAGCAGGTCCCGCACTGGCTCCCACTCAGGGCCCTGGAATGGCCCCACCACAGCACAGGCACCCAGCAGTTGCAGTAACATGACAAAGCTTAGGTCAGACAGGTGGTGTTAGGGAGTTGGAGGGCAGGACTCATCCAGCCAGTGTGGGGTGGGGCAGCCCTGACCTCATAGCATCCCTGTCACTGAGGCTACCTCACAAAGGGGCCTGATGCCCCAGCCTGGGCTCCAGCTGCAGGTAAGGACAGCATTGGGGAATTGCCCAAAAGGAATTAAAAGGAAGAATAATTTGTTTTAAACATCCTGTCCTCTGGAGTGAAGAGATTAAGTCCCCCCCATGGATGATGGGATGATGTAACCTGTAGTCTGCTGATTCCTTTCTTCCTATTAGATACTTTTATCCATTTGTCCATCTGTCTAACTATCAAACACTCAATCAACACTGTATTAAACATGTGCATTCTTGTTTGACCACCCAGATTACTTTTCCTATCTCAGGATCAGTGTTGTTGGGAGAAAAAATACTACCCTGAATAAATGCTACTGTCTTTCACCTAAAGGTTATATTCAAAATATTGAAATACAGAGCGAGCTGGGACATCATCCATTCAGAATGGGCTAGTCTTTAACCCTTTAATAGCTGGGTTGTGAGTGGTCCCTGGGGTCCCAGGAGAGAGACATCATCTATCTACCAACCATTTGGGAAGTATTTCTCTATTTTGAGAACTCAATATGCCACACAATGTGTCCTGGCTGAATGTCACCCCAGCTTATACCTGATACTCTCTCACAGACCCAGGACAACTAAGGAGTAAGTGAGCGACCTAAGTTTGGCCAACTGGGCTCTCTCTGTCAGGGCTCTAAATATCAAGAACAGAGATTCAAAATAGAAATAGGAAGCTGGTGAGAAAAAGAAAAGCAGCTCATGGCGGCTAGGAACTGGCCCAGCTCTGTCAGTTAGGCCTTAATGTTGCTAGGAGCTGGCAACACTCATAGCTGGGCCTTGATGTTCGCCTGCTGACCATAAAAAATTTCATAAACCATCAGTATCAGACAAAGCCACTTTGTGGTAATCAAGACAAAAACAAGACCACTTTTTAATAATCTCTGAATACAGACAAAAACATGAACATTGTTGAAACAAAAATAACCAAACATCCCCTTACCTGGCTAATATGAGTGACTGCTATTTCTTTACCAATTACAGCTTTAGATTAATTTCATTTCTTCCACCTTGTAGATAAGATTTATTAAGATGCCCAATCATAGAAATTCAAACTTTCGACAGCGTCTAATCCAGAGCAAATCCCACTTCCTTGAACCCTGCCCCACGTCACCTAACACAAGCTCAAATCCTATAGTAAATCCTTTCTAACACTCTTTTATTGAGAAGTCCCACAGTTCCTCATGGTGTGCGATCTCCCTTGTTGCAATGAATAATAACACTATAGGTGTGTTCCTGGTGGTCTTTGCCTGGGGGACATTGACAGCGGAATGAGACTGTCGGACCGGTCTCACGATCGGCTTCCCTTGAACCTCTGGGCTCCACCACAGCATCGTTTCCCAAATTCCTTTTTTTGGTTGCTTGCCACCAAAGATCCTTAAGTGAAATAAGCACTCCCTTTGGCCCAGGCATAGGGCCAGAAGATAGGTATCGACAATGTCCGAGGCAGCTATAAGCCCTGCTCTCATAGAGCTCTCAGTGTGGTTGCAAAGGTGGACCCTGAATAAAGACAAGGTCAACGAGTGCTACAAAGGACAAGTACAGGGGGCTTGTGGGTCCATATAGTAGGGGTCTGGGTGATCAGGGAGGCTTCACTGAGGAGGTGATGAATAGGAATTAGCTAAGCAGAACAGTGGAGCACATTACTCCTAATAGAGAGCGATGGATTGGGTTGGAGACATTGGGGTGTGCTCAGGGTAGGAAAAGAAAATAGATGAGGCTATAACATGGGGAGGACACAGGGAGTACTGAAGAGGGGCCTAATAAATCATGTCAAGGTTTTAGGATTTTAAGCACAGAAGTGTGGTAAAAGAAAAATTTCCAAGATAAATTGATCCTGATCATATGTCAACGTTTATTAACTTACCAGCAAGGGCAACAAGAAGATAAAAAAAGGGTGGGCTAGTTCTGAGAGAACATGGAAATTAAGTAATTATAAAGTTGGGAAACAGAATTAATTAGGTAAAGGGTAGTGTCTCATTACTCTTGATCATAATACCATCAAGCTCCTATCAGTCACTACTGAGAAAATCTGGGATATGATGGTCTAAGGTGCCAGGTAGGCCAAATAACAATCAGAAATTGTTATAAAAGACATCAAAAAAAGCAAATGATAAGGACACATCTATGACTGTAAATTGGAAAAATAAGGTTTCATTCCCCAAGCAGTGATGGCCGATAGGTCCAATTAATATGGAAACAGGAAACAGAACCCAAGAGAGGCGAGGAGCGGAGTTCAAATCACAGCTTCTGCTCTTAAACAGGAGCTATCAGTGGATATTTCTTAATTTGGAGACAAATGTTGTTCTTCAACAGTCATGCATGATTCGCACGAGGTGAAGTTTGATGGGGAAATTTTTGATGTAACAAATGTCCAGTCCTGGAGCCAGTTTAAACTCATCCTATTGCCCAATGCCACAACACATCCCAGGCAGAATAACTATTAATAGATGTGGTGGACGTTACCCAGGCCAATAGCTAAACATTCCAGGGTCCAGTTCTGGCTTTGCCGCTGCCTCACCCTGTGACGGTATATAAGCAGCTTCCCTTCTCTGGGCCTCATTATGTGTAAAATCAAGGGGCTGAGCTGCATGATGCCTAAGGGTCCTGCCAATTCTCTACTTCTAGGTTTCCAAAGGAATGAACTAGAACTAGCCCTTCATGGTCTAGTTTTGGCTAGATCCAAGTGGTCCCAAGGTGTGCCTGGCATCATATTGGAGAGAGATGAGTAAGGGCCATAGAATCAGGGAGGACCTCTTGGAAGTGGTGAGGCATGAGTCTAGCCTTAAATCATGGAGATTTGGGCAATATAGAGAAGAGGACAGTATGCTGGCCAGAAGAGAATGGGTGTCTTGTGACATCTCCAAACTTAACCTGACAAAAACTCAACCCCTGTCCCTAAACCTGCTCTTCTTCCTGAATTCCTTACTCAATTGATTTCATTTCTGGTGGACTCCACGCCCCACCAGAAATTTTAACAAGGATATCTGAATATAAAGGAAAATATCTGGATTACCTTATCATTATCTCCCTGCCTTTTCTTCTCCAGTGACGGGTCAAAAAGATTATTTTGAACACAAGAATGTGCTCAAAGATAAGCCAGCAATGGAATGCTGACACCATTGAAACTCTTTGCTTTGCTGTGCTGTTTTCGAATGTTTAACTCATCGCTTCTGCCAATATTGTATAGCAGAATGATAATAGACACAGCAAAATTCAGCCCCTCGCCCGGAACTGAGGCCGTTTGCCCCTGGGGTGCCCTTTTAACGAGCGAGATCCGCCGGCTCGCAGTGACATCACTTCCACTTCCGGCCGCGTTCGGCCATTTTTCTTCTTTCTTTGCGACTTTCCGGCACGAGCGAGCGTTCCTTCTCTGACGTCGGTGACGCTTCTTGAGGAGAGGCGAGTCCGCGGAACCACAGCCATGGTGAGTGCGTGCGCCTGGTCAAAAAGCCGGGAAGCGGGGGACTCGGAGATCGGTTCACTCTCGAGCCTGTCGGGGGCTGAAAACGTGCGCCGTCTCGACCGCCAGGCCTGGGGTTAGAGTTCCGGCGCCGCGGAGTCCCGGCCGCCGGGCCCAGAGTCTGAACTCCGGCAGCCGCGGGTCCCAGCAGCCCGGCCGGAGGTTAGAATTCCGTAAGCTTTAAGGTCCCAACTGCTGTGATGCGGAGGGCAGCAGTCTGCGCGTGGCTGAAGGCCTCTGGTGAGCGGAGGGGACGTGGTCCGGCCTGGGGGAAAGAGACAAACGCACGTGGGACAGAGTAGAAAGTTGGATGAGAAAACTTGGCTCCGTTTTTTTCATTTTGAGGAGGGGTCGCTGGAGGATGGTGTGGAACCCAGGTTGCAGTTCAGCCTCCCTTATTCCACTTCCCCATGTTCAGGAGAGGGAGGTCTTCGTGGGTCTGTTCCTAATGCTTGTTGCGGAGTTACACGTGCCAGGGACCTAAAGGAGCCTTTGGCATTTGGAGTCGGGAATGTGGGGGGTTCCCGAGCCCCGGCCTGGGATACAGGAAAGGCTCCTCCTGCGAGGCGGTAGGACCTCAGAAATAAGAGCCCTGGTAGCACCACGTGCGGCTCCTCTAAACTGGTGTTCTCCAACTTTTAATCAAATCGTGTAGCATGGTAGCTAGTTCGAGTTGGCACTTGGTAAGGAGGGGAGAGTTTGCAAAGCACTTCTACTTACATAATGAGTTGGATCCCGGCGGGTACCTTACTCCATTTCCCTAACCCACTCCCACCTGCCCCTTTCTGAAGCTAGTACTTGGCTGAGCCTAGAACTTGAAGCTTCTAAACCAGTGCTCATCTTACGCAGTTCTGTGAAAAGTTTTGGAATCGATGGTCTGAGGTTGAACATAAGAAAAATTTCTCTTAACTGTAAGATGGGAATTACACTGCATGCGGATTAGATTAAATGAGACAATGCACGATAAACACCTAGTCCTAATAGTTGGTACAAAGTGAGTGATCACACAGCATTTGTTGTTAAATCAAAACCTTGCAGTTTGGGGCTGTCTGGTGTACAGGAGACCAAACTGATCAAGCTAGGGGTTCAAGTTAGCCGGTGGTATGATTTCATTCACTCATTTAATTAACCCTTTTAAAAGTTGAAAGGTGGATAAATGGACACTAAGCAAATTTCAGTTGCTGTTTTTAAGGTAGTGTGGTTTTAAAGTTGAGCCAACCGTTTGTTGTTGACTGGAATGAGATGATGATTGTTGAGGCTCCTGAAGTCTTCCCCTTTTATGCACTTGATGTTTCTTGTGAGTTGAGAATCCTTACCTCCAGAGGTGGGTTGTTGAAAACCGCCATGGAAATAAATATCTGACATCTCAAAACATAATTTTGAGGAGTGATTGGAATTAAAGTGTTGTTGGATCCTTTATCATTTAGAAGGAAAGTGACTGTTGATGAACATTAGGTTATGATAGGTTAAGGACAAATGTGTTTTCTCAGGCAGCCACCAGAAGAATAAAGATATGTAACTCCAAACTAGTGGAGGGGAAAATGGTGAAAAAATAATAAATCCAAAGGAAGAAAAGAAACAGAACTTGTGGGACCAAGAGAAGGCACAAGAGAAGGGAGATTTGAACCCAATATTTACTTAATTTACCAGTCAGTATGTTAGTAAATACAGACAAAGACTAAATGCTCCAGTTAAAAGACAGATTGAAGTAAAAAGAATGGAAAAGATATGCCAACTTCAAAAATGTAGTGTAACCTATATAAACATCAGAAATAAATGGGTTTTAAGGCATCTGGAAAGATACAGTGACTAAAAAAATAAGGGACAAAATGAAAGTGACATAATTACAAGAGGAAATAGACAAATATGCAATCATATAGCATTTAAGTATATAATTGATAGATTATGAAACCAAAACATCAATATAGAAATAGAGGATTTGAACAATATTATGAATAAACTTGATCTAGTTAGTGGTCATAGTGAATCTAGTAAATTGTGCACCTGACAAGTATAGAAGACACTTTTTAAGCAAGGAATATTTATGAAAATTGGCCACCTACTGGGTTATAAAGCAAGTTCAACAAATTTTAAAAGAGTGTTAATAATACAGACTGTGTTCTCCTAACCAGAATGCAAATAAGTTAGGAACCAGTAACAAAGTGTTTGGAAAGAAGATATAAATAACTCTGGATCACATAAAAAAAAATGGTAATGGAAATTTGAAAACAGAACTGAACAATAATGAAAATATCACATACCAGGGCATGTTGGGTACAACTAAAGTATTGGAACCTAAAATGCTTACACTGCGGGGGGGACTAAAAAGGTAGGGAAAGAACAAAAGGACAAAATAACCCCAAAGAAAGTAGAAGGGGGGAAAAAACACAGAAATTACTGGAATAGAAAATAGATCCTAATATTATAGGTGGACAAAATCAGAAGACAATTCTTTGAAAAGTCCCTTCCAATAAGATTAATCAAGAAAATAAACAAAGCGTACATAAGGAGTAACTACATGGAAACATAATCTGCAGACATTAAAAAGAAAGGATATTAAGCACAATTTGATACCTATAAACATAGAATCCTAGATTGAATGAATGAATGCCTGAAAAAGTATAATTATCATAAGCAATTCAAGTAGAAATAGGAAAAACTAAATAGTAAAATAAGTTAAAAGTTTTTAACCTGAAAAAACTCCGGACCTAGTTTAATAGCTTTATTGAGATAATTTACATACCATACAGTTAACCTGTTTATTTTATTTTATTTTATTTTATTTTATTCTGAAGTAACCTGTTTATTTTGAAGTGTGTAATTCTGTGGTTTTCGTATATTTAGAATTGTGCAACCATCACTGTTGAATTTTAGAGCATTTTTACCATCCCCCAAAGAGACCTTATATCCACTAAGATTTTATTTTATATCCATTATAAAACAAAACCTTATTTAAGTTGGTTGTATCTCAAGAATGCAAAATTGGTATAATATTAGAATATAATATTAGAAAAAGTGTAAAAATTAAAGGAGAAAAGTTTTATTTATCTGAATCAGTACAAAAAAATCTGATAGAATTCAACACCAATTCATTTATAAAAGAAGAAATTCCTAGTACACTAGGAAATACAGTGAATTTTCTTAACCTGAAGTATCTAGGAATAAGTAAAAGATTAAGGCTTTTGGAAAACAATAAATCTTTATTTAAACGCTCTAAAGAGTTAAGTATATATATTGTAATGAATTGGCAGATTCTGCATCCTAAAGGTGTTTTGTTGGAATTAGCATTACACCAAATCAGACAGATTGTCCCAGCAGGCTTTTTTGGTCAGCCTTGAAAAGCTAATTCTAAAATGTGTGGAGAAGTCAGACCAATAATGAGGCCTTTCTTATCCACTTCTTCAGGGAACTCCTCCAGCCCTCACCTAATTCCTCATCACCCAGGGACAATGACAGATTCACCCAGTGTGATGTGTTAGGGACCAGGCGTCTTGGTGTGATCTGGCCCTTGATATCACTTCCTGTTCCTCTGGGGGCTGGTCATTTTGGTGTCCTTGTGGTCTTGTGCAGGAGACCATCGAGGCAGATGTAAGGGTGAATGTTCCCACCTGGCCGTCACCCACGGGTCACTGCCTACAACTACGGTGTAGAGTGCCATGGTCCAGCCTCCAGACCCAGGGTTAGACCAGATCACCACTACCCAACTGTTGGGTGAATAAGATGGTAACTTGGGGCTGCACAGGGAAAACAAATGAGAAATTAATGAAAATGGTTCAACTGGAAAGGTGGGAGTGAAGTAGGGCAGATCCCACCCAATTTGTTCCCTATGTGGGTTATTTTGACGCAAATCCCAATGACATAACATTTAATCCATAGGTATTAAAGTAGATATCTACAAAATAAAGATTTTTAACAACCGCAATGACACAACACCCCAAAATTTAATAATTCCTTAATATCAAATATCTAGTATTTGAATCAAAGGCTTGAACAGATTTTTTTCTTTCCCTTTTTCCCCCCACAACTACTTGATCTTAGAGTTTTGTTCTTCAAGAGGGGCAGTGAGCGCATGTTATCTTTTGTGGTGTTGGTAACTTAATCAGTGTCTGGATGCATTCATTAATTTATGTCTGGATTGATTGATTAATATGGGTTGTAAGGTGGGATAACCATACAAGAGAAATTTTTCATCTGCTATTTGGTTAGCTGATGATATGCTCTGTATAGGAAAGGCAGGATAAATGCTTTACTGTTTACCAGTTTTCAAAACACTGTTGATTCACTAGCATAGCTTTGACTTTGGAACCATTCAATGTTTTATATATTTGAAAAGTGAGATTTAAAAGTATTTTTTAAAAAAACAAACTGAATACAAAGGAACCCTAATTGTTTATCAAATTAATAACCACAGGAAAATTTTAATTTAAATAACGAATATAGTACTAAGTGGATGGCTTTAGTTGGATGTAGTCTGTAGTCTAAGAACAAAGAGAAAGTTCGTTGGTAGAGGTAGTACTGATACAGCAATTGTGAAACTATTTCGTATGTATCATAGGGTCGAATAATGAGAAAATATTTTGATGGCTTGGAAACCAGGGTTGTTCTTACTGAGGACAGAGGGAGATTTGAATGTTGAATGGAGAGAGAGAGCTTTGTGCTGCATTTCTATAAATTATACCTTAATTTTGATTCAGTAAACTTAGGATGGAGTATGGAAATCCAAATTTAAAGATTGCCCCTATGTGACTCAAATGGAAACT